AGCTCCACTGCCGAGCCCCATGAGGGGCCCGGCGGTGGACCTGCAAGACCAGCGGGAGTGCAAGGAAGCCCCGCGAAGGCCCTCCCTGGCCCTAGGCAGGCAAGCAGGGGTGGGGAGAGGCAGGGAGGAAGCAACTTACCCTCCCTCTTCTCCTGCCTCCTCCTGGCTGAATGAGGGCTGGAAGCGGGGTGGCCGGAAGCAGGGGGCGGGGCTTCGTCATGTGCCCCACCCCCGTACCTTACCCGGAGGAACTGCGATCCCCCGCGATCCCCCCGAAGTGACCTCTGCATATTACCCCTTTTGACCCACTTAGGGGTCGAATTTCTAAAAATCCCTTCTTAGCAGACACCTATGTCATGGTAGGAGAGCTCTCCCCTAATTTGGTGTTTCTAGGTCCAGCGGTTTGGCCTGGGCATTGATTTTATGGTGAGGGGACTTTCTTTTATATATATAGATAGATAGATAGATGGAATTATAACTCAATTTCACACCATTTAATCAGTAGACCACACACACGAATTTCAAATTAGCACAAACAAAATGTTCAGCATAGCTTAAAATGGAAATTTGCACTACTGCAAAAACTAACCCCCAAAAGGCAACTAGAATTGGCTCAGCTCTAGCAGTAATTAGCAGGGAGAACTAATCCAGTGAACAACTGAAGATCTGCAAAGAGTGAGTTGTAGAAATTAAATTCAGTAATGGAAAAGACAAAGTCTAAAAGGAAAGAATTCAAATGGCCCACTGGATTAGAAAAAAGATATGTCAGGAATAGTCCAAGCATCTAGTTGACAAGCTGACTAAACTTATCTGAACAGAGTTTCTACATTTATTATTACCTTATTTAATTCTACTGTTGATAACTATTCTCACTGTATTTTGTTCTTTTTACTGTTTAAAAATAAAATAAAAACTTTTTAAAAAAACTATGATGCTGCTGACCTGGTGTCCAGGACTTCAGGACTTTTGTGTGTATGTTTGTGTGGCTACTAACTGGTTTTCTAGGTGTACATCAAGCTGACAACTAAAAACTGAATGGTTACTTCAGATGCTCTGTTGAACGCTGACCCTTTTGTAGCCCTCCTTCTTTGGATCTTAAAACCCAGATTGATGGGCGTAGACTCCCAGACATTCCATGTAATGTTTCTGCTAACTATCTTATCATGCAGTTGCAATTATATTACAGTCTGTAATTACAACTACCACAGCTGTGGGTACAACATATTTTGCTGACCACCAAATTACAAAGGAAAGCAAAACATCAGCTGACCAAACCTATTCAGATTTCTGTAAGTTTGTTGGGGAATACGTGAAAGAGAAACTGATAAGGAAACGCAGAATTAAATATATTGGGGGGCCAGTAAGTTCGTAACAACTCATTGAGAAAATTGGTTAAAAGGATCTGTGCAGAGATTCACATGGACAAAAAGTTATTGCTACACCATATACATAGCTCACAATTCAGTTGTAAAGTATTTACCCATCATATGTATGTATAGAGGATAAGCTTTTATAGTCTGATCTTAGACAAAGTAATTTTTAATCAGGAAAGTTTTAACATGTGTACACCGTAATAAATATTTGTACTTTTATATATATGGTTTAGCTTAGCCCTATTTGGTTCGTAGTCATATCCTGGGTTGAGTCCCCCCCCCCCCTTTTTTCCCCAGTATTTGCTTTTGTGAGCCAAAAGCATGAAGCATTACATTCTGTAGGCAGAAATAGTATACTAAAAGGTACATATGCTGACTTGCAAGCTGAACACATAGAAAAGTGAACTCTTTAAGGCCACTAAAGCTACATTTTCAACATGCCAGTCTGGCCAAGTGAATTTGCCCTAAGACAGCCACCCACTCAACATAAAAATCCTGAGAACTTGGAAGAAGCAGAAAAATTTGATCTGTAGACAAGTGATGGGCAAAGGGGAAAATGACGGTGGGATGTCGTCTGTCAGTGGGTGGAGACTTGGTTTCATTTACCCTTCCCTTACTGATTCCCCTTCCTGTTTATGTTCTGAATTTCTCTTATATGTATTGTGTTGTGTTTTATTAAATTGTTCTTAATATTTTCAGTGGTTTGCTGCTTTAAGGAACCAAGTTGGATGGAAAGATGGGATAGATAAATAAAATAATAAAACGGAGAGACTAGCAGGAAACTTTGCATTTATTTAACATTTTATACACTTTCCCCCACAAGATGTGGACAGCATACAATAAACCACATCTCTTTTAATAACAGCTCATCTGTTAGACATCTTTTCCCTCCATGGCCACCTGCCAGCACCAAGGCATCTAATGAGAGCTCCCCTTCTAGGGCCTTATCCAAAAGCTCTCTCTCTCTGATAGCCTCTCAAAAGAAGCACCTCCTTTCTCACACCTTACAAAACGAAGGCAGAGATAGGATAAACCGAAATTCCTGTTGCAATCCATTCCAGTGTTAAAGGATAGTCTGCGTACATTTTACGTACACACGACATGGGAAGCAAGAGAATGAAACATGTAAGCTGCCCTGAGCTCCATGGGTAAAAAAGGAAAACTATCTGCACCATTCAGCACCAAAACATAACCATCACAAACAAGGATCACACAACATGAGAGGAACAGTTATTTGAAGCATAACTGCAAATCATCCTGCATGGTGTCATAAATGCTCTGAGAGATTACTTGTAATCCCCAAATGCCAAGGAGAGACACAAACGAATCAATCAATATATAAAAATGCAATTTTATCAATTTGGAGTGTTGCTTTCAGTGCTGTTCTCTTTCCTATGGAACACACAAAGGTTAAGGTTGCTGGTCAGCAACATGAATGGAGACCAAGTTTCATGTTCCAGTAAACAGAACCTGCTACGTCAATTTCTGAGTTTTTTCATTATTCCATTTAACATTTTTCACTACTTGGGCTTAAATTCTGCTTTTACTAGTGCCGACACATTCCAAGACTTTTAAAGATCAAAGCCAACACTGTATTGCCTACTCCATACACTGCATCTGCTAGTATGCATCGAACAATAAAGCCATACAGCTGTCATATTTTAGTCCCCATCATTTCCCCATTTCAAAATTATCTCCTCTACACATGAAACCAGGTGAATTTTTGTACTACGCCTCCTTCCCTGAAACACACACATTTCCATACTAAATAGTTCACAGCTCAGAACTTTTAGATATGCTAATGAGATAATCCCTCTAATTAGGAAAACGGGGACTGAATCCTTTTCAAGAAGCAGAAAACAACAAAGTCACACAGATTAAACACTTTCAGGTACTTTTGTCTGAGCAAAAATATCCAAGACTTAAGGCACCTGGGAATGTTGAATCCTATGCGGAATTACTCATCTCTAAACCAGTTTGTTTCAATTGTCTTAGACTGGGGTAACTAACTCTGTATAGGATCTAAAAAGTACACCATCTGTTTTATCAGATTCAGGCTCCTACCACCACAAAATGACAATTCACGTCTCGAACGTGACACACAACCTTTTTTTTCTTTTTTGGTCTTCTTAAACCTTGAAACCCGCTAAAATCAATGGACCTTGCCTCCAAACGAATGCTTTCCTGCGCTTATATCCTTCCTAACTAAAACGAACGGAAGCACTCTTGCGGTTTGCCATTCACACCGGTCGCTTTCCAGCAATCATAGATACAGATTGACCCGGGTCTTCCCCGCAACCCAAAGGATTTATTGGCTGCCAAAAGCGAGCGGAATCTCGACTCCCAGAAAAGCAAGTCCAGAGAAGCAGCATGTCCTGCAACCAGTGTTCCCTCTAAGCTGAGTTAGTGTGAGCCAGCTCACAGTTTTTTAGCCTCCGGCTCACCCATTTTTGTCTCAGCTCAGGAAGGACGGGCTCCAAAGCAAACTGATTTATGCAGCAGCCAAATCACTCGCTCACAGCTTTAATGCCAGGAGCTCACAACAATGTTCCCTCTAAGCTGTGGAGTCTCATGAGCAAAAAATCTACTTTGTCAGCTACTGGCATTAAAGTTGTGAGCGAGCGGTTTGGCTCCTCCATAAATCCGTTTGCTCTGGAGCCCTCCTTCCTGAGCTGAGACAAAAATGTGTGAGCCGGAGGCTAAAAAACTGTGAGCTGGCTCAGACTCACTCAGCTTAGAGGGAACACTGGCTCACAAAGTTGGGTTTTTGCTCACAAAACCCCACAGCTTAGAGGGAACATTGCCTGCAACTAAGTATACACTCTGTGTCCCGCTTCCCTCCGCAAATCAGCGCTATCCAGCGTCACCAGACACACTTCAGTCGGTGCTCGGAGGAAGGCAGCCACTTAGGACTCCAAAAAGAGAGACCCAAGGAGGCGCCCCCCCCCCTTCCACCGAGCCTCACTCCTCCGCGGATGCCCAAGCGGCCGTGCAACCGGCCTGGCCACGGTGGACACTTACCGGGGAACAGGAGCCCGGCGGCGCGAAGCTGGCCCCGGGGAGAAAAGGCGGACAGCAGGAGCGGCGGCGACAGCAGCAGCAGCAGCAGCAGCAAGAGCGCCTCGGCCACGGAACAGCAGCGGCCGGACCCCATCGATCGGCTGGCTCCGACGCCT